CCTCGCTAAAATTTAACACAAAATTAAAGACATGAATTAAGATCTAAATATAATGATACGTCTATGTTAAGTTTTTAGAAAGCATGAATTAATGTTGTCGTTACTTAGTTCTGTCGATTTACATGAGTAGGATAATTGATGTCTAAGGCGGGTGAGTTTTTAACCCAGTGACTAAGAGTGGGATTTTAATTTTAGACTCCTAAAAGATCTCTCAGTATGCGTCACATTTGTGTGGGATTTCTTACTTTGTCTTTATTCTGTGCTGTGATACATTTGGGAAAATCTGTAATCAGTTCTATGGCTTTATTATCTTGTGATATATCCCATATAGCACCCATGTCTCAGATGTACCCCTCAATTTTTTGCAAGATCAGATGTAGAAATGAAAACTTAGAGAAGTATTCTACAGAAAACACATTTCAGTACTATTTTTAAAGGGGAGACATAGGCTTATTAATGGGTTATACGTTTTATAAAAGCAACCTATGAATGTAAATGTCCATAGATGCCTTGTGTGAGATGTACTGTAAACTATATTGTTCAGGTTGTTTTTTATTTTGGTAAATTCACATGGTATATGGGGAAGATGAGCAATTCCAACCTCACCCTTGGTACTGCTGCTAAATCTAGCAGTTCATTGGGATGGGAAGTATATGTAATGTAATGTAATACTAGACTACTTACTGCAGACGGAAGTCCACGCAGACAAGCCATTACAGCCTTTGGGGACCCAGCATGGAAGAGATGGCGTTGTGACAAATCAAAATATAAGAAGCCTGCAGATAATGTGTGGCCACTAACACTGTGAGACACATGTCTCGTAAAAAAAACCTAGATACACCTAAAAACAAATATGGTTCTTAATCTTTTAAAATTTAAACAGAGCCTTTAGTGGTGAGTCCTTGTCACTTCTGTCTGAGTGTTCCACAGAGATTGAAGTGGGCTATTCCCACTGATCATTGTGAAACCTACTTGTAACACTACTGACTTCTCACAGGTACCTGAACCAGATGGCACAAAGAGAAATTAAGTTACAGTCAGTTTCAGTATTGAGGACAGGAAGCCCTTATTAACACAAAGGATGTAGGACATGTAGGGTACTTAGTAATGATGTGGAAACCATTCCTATACATTCTTTCAGGATACAGCCTGATAAGGTTGTAGGGAACAATGAAGTGCTATCATTAAAATGTCAACCTAATGACTTTCCTTTTTCTGTAGTTTGTTCTTTACACTTGCCAGTGTGTCTCATTTTAATAATGTAATGATAATGTTTCTTTATTAGCCCTATACAATTTCTTGCATTAGGAATTTGTCTTCACATACCCCAGCTTTTCTCCATGAGACACACAGAAAGGGAGAGAAGCTTGGGGTCAGAACACAGGGTCAGCTATTGTACAGCACCCCTGGCACAGTTGGGGTTAAGGGCCTTGCTCAGGGGCCCAACAGAGTAGGATTCCTCTGCCGGCCACAGGATTTGAACCAGCAACATCCCAGTTACAGGCACAGATCCTTAACCACAGAGCCACCGCTCCACCCTTACTGTTTTCTTACCGCTGTGAAGATTTGCTTAAATACTTACCAGTATTCAGTATTTTTTCTGGTTACTCTTGAAAAAACATTTCTGCCTTTTTTAAAGCTTTTTTTTAAGCCACTATGCAGTACAATATACAGTACAAATACTGAACTTTATTTTGTATTAAATGATACTAAGCAAATAAAGATGGCAATATGGTTCAGGTCTGAAAGTTGAAGATTGTTCTGCTACTGTTGTATGCAAGTTGAAACATGTTTACATGCTCAGCGAGTGCTATTAGAATTCCCTCACTACCTCTTAACAAAGTCTGTGAAAACACCTGGACTGAACAGAACATCTTAAGGCTTCGGGGGTTTTGATCTATTCAACAACATTCAAAAAACCACAATAATCATTTTCCCCACACCAGCTACAAATGACTATCAATTATACTTCTCTTTATTTATCAGAATTTTAGTTCTGCAAAATCTATTTCTTGTGCATTGTCTGCTGAACATGTAAATACCATGATTTCACTATTATTTTATTAAATAAAGCAAAGATGCTATGTCCTTATTACTTTACTAAGAGCATAGTTTAAAAAAATCTGTGATTTTATTTGTTCTTACGCTTGCAACTAATAATGATACACAACAGTGTATTGTAAATACCCCCCAACAGAGTACAAAGGAGCCTTTGAGTTTGATAGTGCAGCAAGCTACTGTCTTGAAAAATTACACTAATAGTTTTGAATATGTTTTTGTGGTTTAGCTGTTGTGTTTCATGGTGCTGGAATAATGATGCAATTGTAGACTTCTTGATTACTTTTTGGCTCTCTTGGATTGAGCAGGCCTGTGGAATGTGTAGAGTCTGGACCAGTCTGAGTAAGTTAGGAGTCGGATACAGGGTGCCAGTGTTAAACTCCCAGAAAGAATGCACAGAGGAGCAGCTCCAGAAATCAAAGCAATATATTTTGGGAGATGTTGGTTATCCCTGGCGAAATAGGGATTACTCTAGTCTGAAGCATTAATTGTATTTATATTAATTGTATTTTTTTACTAACAGAGGGAGAAAGGTAGAGAAAAGTAATCTGAAAAGTTTGAAAGGAGGGTTGTGGGTCATGTTTTATGTTTTTATTTGAAGCTAGTACACAAAAATCCATTGGATAAAATTAGAAAATGTGCTTGTTTTATAGATACCAGTTCTACACTCCTGACATGTATCCAATTTATACAGTCTCTGCTGTGGGAAAGAAGCACAAATGATTTGATCTACTTGTTTTTCCTCATTATTTCGAAAATTAATATATGCTGTATATCCATTCTACTAAGTAGTCAAAATATCCTATTTGCAGTAACTTGCCTAATAAGATGAATGAGAGATGTAGAAGGGAGCTAATTAAAGATACAGTTACTAGGGTTTTGTTACAAAGGTATATGAATTGTACAGAATTGATTTCCTTTTAGACTGCAAAATACCTAAGTACACAGAAAATAAGTAAATTGTGTAAAGTAATCTGTGGCCAAATATAGAATTTATTTTATGATGGAATATATTCAGACTTAGAATTGATAATAGAATATAAATATTCAGTTTCTTGTTGAGCCAAGATATAGTTTATTATTCATTTTACTGTATTTACTGTGGCAATAATATGACCACTGTTAATCATATCATTACTTAAAGTTTCTGATATTCTGTTATTTGGGGTTAACTGGGATTTTGTATATGGCTAAGGTTTTTATTTAAGTTTTATGTTTTCATCTTGGTTGTACCTGTCTTTTGATTTGAATGGTCTAATGTCACACCTCCAAATCATAAACACTACATTGCATGGAGTCAAGAAAATAACAGGTAATCTTGGTAGTCTCCCTAATTACTGCTATAGCCCTAAAATCAGAGGAACATTGTGAAACTAATACTTAGGTTAATTTGAATATTGTCCAGTACATTCCACAACGGGATAAGCAAGTTTCTGGCTGTAATCTGCACTTTTACTGGCTAGTAATAATCAAATCAAAAGATGCACACACTCATTAAATAGCTACAGTAAATTACTTGAGATTCAACATGTATGTATAAAGTGTAGTACTATAGTGCCCACAGCCAAGAATCTTTGTGCTTCATAAAAGACTGTTTGTTCAAAGTTTGAACCTTTCAATCTCACTTGATCCTTACCCTTCCATTTGCCTTTCAGCAAGGGGTGAATGAAGATGGTTCAGGTCAAGAGGATCTGTTGTATTGGGGCTGGTTACGTCGGTGGACCCACCTGCAGTGTCATTGCTCAGATGTGCCCTGAGATCAAAGTCACAGTGGTAGATGTGAATGAGGAAAGGATTAAAGCTTGGAATTCAGACAGTCTTCCTATTTTTGAGGTAACAACACAGACATCATTTAGGAGATTCCTAAATTGATGTCAATAATTTGATTATACAGAGGTGTTCGTGTGTTGAGGTTTGCTTTTACTTGATGCAAAGAAATATATTTTTACCTTTAGTTTTCTGTTGCTACCGCCTACTAGGATTTTCTTAATATAATGTACTTTAAATGTGTAATTTAGGTGTCAAACCTAACAAGTTGAAATATCCAATGTTCTTATATTGGCCAAACATTGGCTAGGTGTTTGTCAGTTTTCTAAGAATAGAAATGGCTATCAACAGTATTGCAGAGATGATATTATTGTTTCTTTGGGTTTCCTTTCAGCCTGGTCTCCAGGAAGTGGTGGATTCATGCCGAGGGGTCAATCTTTTCTTCTCCACCGATATCAACAGTGCCATTAAAGATGCAGACCTAGTATTCATATCAGTAAGAAAGATATCTGTGTTCACTCACTGCTTCCTTTCCACTCACTGTATTGGGTGTCTTTCTTAGACTTCTTTAAAGGAGGTTCACCTAAAGTTGAAAGCAAAGCTTCTATCAACTAAAAAAATGGGCAAAAATAATTAACTATGTTTAAAAAATTTCTGTGTCATGCTTTACAAATGGGGCTCATCTGTGTATTGATTCTGAATGATCTGAGGGCGTCAGGACAAGTACAAATAATAGAATTGAAAGAATGTTAAACAGTATGGAGCACAACCATCGAGACAGGAAGATGAAGATGAGAACGCTTTAGAAACGATTATTTTGGATTCCGTTTTCAGGTCAATACGCCCACAAAGACGTTCGGCATCGGAAAAGGGCGAGCTGCTGACTTGAAGTACATCGAGGCTTGTGCACGGCGGATAGCAGATGTGTCCAGTGGTTGCAAGATTGTGGTGGAGAAGAGCACAGTTCCTGTCCGTGCCGCAGAGAGCATTCGGAGGATATTTAATGCCAACACTAAATCTAATCTCAGCTTTCAGGTATCACAACATAGGCATTTTTTCTTAACAAGTATGTTGTCATGATTATAGTCACAGGGACTGGTCAGTGCTTAATAAGGAATTATGAATATGTAAAAGTTAAGAAAATTGTATACATAAAGACATTTTGAAATTCTACTATATATGGCACATCATGAAGCAGCTACATTTATAGTAAAGATGATGGCCCATCCTGTAGATTAACCTTATTGAGCAGCATTGGTATGGTGTAAAAGGGCTGCTGTAGCAATACTCTGTGTTACCAATGTATTTAGTATAATTGCATTTCAAGATGTATTATTTTTCTAAAACATTACATTTTAGAAAGTGTTATTGTACTCCTGAATCTTATTTTGTAATGAAGGCCATCGTGTACTTTATTTCAGTAGCTTTAGTTTCTTATTATTAGTTCCCTGAAAGAATATGTTTTAATTCACTTTCCTGTAGGTCCTCTCCAATCCAGAGTTCCTTGCTGAAGGCACCGCTATTTCTGACCTAAAAAATCCTGATCGAGTTCTCATTGGTGGGGACGAGACTCCCGAGGGGCAAAGGGCAATTGAGGCTCTCCGCAACATCTATGAGCACTGGGTACCCAAGAACAAAATCATCACCACCAACACATGGTCCTCTGAGCTTTCTAAACTGGTACATAACCTAAATTTCCCTTTCTTCAGATAGAAGTTCCAACATTACTGTCTGAAAGCAATAATATACACTGAAAGGTTTTGCAGCTCCCCACTCGAAGTACTTTACACATTCATGCGTTCTAGAAAATTCAACCACCTGGTGGTGACTTGATACTAAACGTCTACTAAAGGGAAATTCCAAATAACATTTGTGTGGTCTGTGGTTTCATTCACTGACTGTAGGAGTCCAGTCAGCTGAAGTTATCAATTACAGGCTTCAGATTGCCTCTGTTTTACAAAAATGAATAAATGTAAGCATGAGCTTTATTTCTTATTTGGTGGTCTTTCTTTGTTTTCTATTTTGTAGTCTTCCTTTACTCCTGCTGAATGTTTACAGATTTTTATCTGCCTTTTACTATTGAATCATGGGTGTTACTAATAAGCCATATCTTTGATTGTCAACATAGACCTCAAGAACTACTGTTTCAGAGTGTCTTAGAATTTTTGTACCCAGTCATTGAGCAGGTGTTTCTGATGGATTTATTTTTGCCGTTAGGCTATCAATAATTTCTTTGTTCAGTATTCGTGCATTTGCTTGGGGACAAGAGTACCTTACTCCATTAACATTTTTTAGTTGTCATTTATTTACAGGCTGTATCAATTCACTAATGAAAGTGTTTGCTGCTTTGTTGCTGTCAGTTTTAATCCCGATTCAGGGATGACCTCAAACACCACTTCATTTCCAGAATAGAGCTGGTTTGAAAACTGCACTTTTTAAAAAAACAACAACAACTGGAGTGCACTAATTCGATCACGAAAGAATGGAAGAGTAATTCTGGCACACTGCTCTGCATTGACTCTTTCCTCTGCAGGCTGCCAATGCCTTCCTGGCCCAGAGGATCAGCAGTATAAACTCCATCAGCGCACTCTGCGAAGTGACGGGGGCAGACGTAGAAGAGGTGGCGCACGCGATTGGCACAGACCAGAGGATCGGGAGCAGATTTCTGAAGGCCAGCGTGGGTGAGGTGGCAGGATGGGTGGATTCAGAGTAGGGAAGGACAAGGAAAGCTCAAGGAAGACAGTGTTTTGTCTCCTGTTCTGACTGCTGAGGGAAATATGCCAGTAATGGCATCTTATTGTTTTAGTCACTGTGCCATTATCAGTCTATTCACATTTTCCTTGCTTTTGCTGGATCAGCAGGTTTTTAAGAGCTGACAGGCAGCAGTGCAGTGGTTGCTTAGCAGAAGCTCTTTATAAAATCCCTGGCTGCTTATTATAGAGATTTCTGACAAATATGTACTTAATGAGCAAAATATAAGAGGAGAATTTTTTCTGGTAATGTGTTTGATACAGTAATCAAGGTACTAAGAAATGTACTGCTTGCTAATGTGCTGCTTGCACTTTAATGAAATTTAAACAAATTTAAACTTTGTAAAACCAGACAGAATGCAGGAGGTTTGGTCAATAAGATTTTAAAAAATTGGAAAATTGTTTTACTTATTGCTTAATTATTGTAGTCAAAGGAGAATAACTCAGGTGTTTAAGTTTAAAATTGAGATTAATATCGGGAAAACTTGTGGTTTGGAGTAATATCAGGAGGAGGTGTGCCAGTCTTCCAGTCAGCTGTAGAGCTTGTAGCTTGTCAGGAAAGAGTAATTGCTCTCATAGGAGAGTGTGCTTGCCTTTCCTTTTTCTCCATGCTGGAGTGCCATATGTTTTTGAAGAGTAAATATTGTGTAGCAACATTGAAAGCTTGTTGTATTATCCACTGAAGTGTTAATTAAGCTGAGTTTTAATTATTCCAGGTTTTGGTGGTAGTTGCTTCCAGAAAGATGTTCTTAACCTCGTTTACCTCTGTGAGGCTCTCAACTTGCCTGAAGTTGCAAGATACTGGCAGCAGGTAGGGTGGTCTTTTAAATGTGTTGTGCAAAATGTGTTCCTTATTATTTGCCTGCGATTACATAACGTAATCTGGCTTCCATATCTATAATAGTAATAACAACAACAACATATAGCACTGTTTATCCCAATGGGCTGCAAATTACTTTACATATGTACTAAGAAACATCATTCATTTGCTGCCCCTACTTCAGTGATGTGTAGTAGGCATTTTGTGCCAGCAGCCCCATTACATTAGTAGATCAGGAAGAGAAGTGAGAAATTACTTCCAATTGAATTTAATAAAATTTAGGTAGGCCAAATTGAGCAAAGCGGAATTGAGCCAGGACACCAGAGTGAATGCTTGTACTCTTATGCACAGTGCCATGGGGTCTTCATAACACCTCATCGAAAGGACCACAAGACAGTGTCCCCTTTCACATTGGACAGTGGTATTGAAATTGTAGTTCTAAGGGAAAAGTGCCACTCACTCACCTAATGTTTGTTAAAGGTCATATGTCCCAACTGATTCTGAGTTCTGACTGCAAGGTGATAATTCTGCTGTCAATCTACAAATCCCTTTTGTGCCTTTATTTGCATAACCTTTCTTTTAATGTCAGGTTTTTTGTACAATCTTTTTGCTCAGTTCAAATCAATCAGTCTTTCAATGCAAAACCGTTTACATGTGCCCTGAAATTTCACAGGTCATAGAAATCAATGACTACCAACGTCAGCGGTTCTCCTCCAGGATCATTGGTTGTCTCTTCAACACTGTAACTGACAAAAAGATTGCTCTCCTTGGGTTTGCCTTCAAGAAGAACACGGGAGACACGAGGTACATAGAAATAATGTTGCTCAAAAGCTGAAATGGAAAGTCGACCTCTTAACTTTTTCAGCTGTGAGGGTTCTATGTGATTAAAACAGGGGGAAAAAACATGGATTCTTGTTGCTTGCAGTCCAGTAGGGATTATAGGGATCTTGAGTTCATAAATTTTTAAGACCTTAAAAATGTCAAATTCATTGACACAAAACAGTTTTAGTCTGTCCACCCATGTTCATTCAGTCCTGTTAAGGGTAACAGCAGCATTATGTGGGGAGGACCAAAAATCTTTTTACTGTGCAACATTTCAGGACTTGGGGTATTTACAGGCCATCTTATAAACTAGTTATTTATCCCTCTAATATGTCCTGAGTCATCCCTGATGTGTCCGCTCATTGCACAAGTGTTGCCGATAATCATTCTTCTCATCAGGTGCTCAGATCTCCCGAACTTGCGTCTCTTGATCTAGCAGCGTAGCACCCTTAACAAAAGGCTTTGCTGGCCAAGCTTTTCACCTTGTCGCAGAGTAAGCCCATCAGCGGTGTGAAGAAACCTCACTACTGCTGCTTCTTCCTTCTGAAGATCAATGTCTTGTAGTAGTGGAGGGTCTCATGTATTCTGATCAACCCCAAACCCACGCCATCTAGAGCCTTCTGATCCTGGCAAGGTCTCCCTTGATGAAGGGTAACCTCATCATACCTGGTATGAGGTACCAGACAAAAACGATCCACCCCAGAAACCTCATGACAGTTGAGAAGATGACTGTGACAACCTTATTCAAATCAGAAATACTGGGATCTACCATCCCTGCAGCCAAGCAGTGGGGTGGAGTTTGCGGGCATGTGTCTGGTGGCTGGGCCACCCCCATAACATGGCCAGGCTCATCCTGAAATGGGTAAACAGAGAAGACCTGTGGGCTCATCACCCACCGGGAAAAGGGTGAGGGTCAGTCCAATGTCCACGTGGCAGCAAGAAGGATGAAAGTTACATTCAAACTGTCTACATGTTTACTTGCACATTGTCTATTGTTTGTTTGTACATTGTCTTGATGCACTGTTTGCACTTTGTTTTGTTTTTTACACTTGTTTTACAATCGAGAGACTTCTGTAAGTAAGAATTCCATTGTACCAGTACCGGTTACATATGGCAATAAAGTTCAAGTTCAAGTTTAGAAGAACCTGCAGATCCAACTGGATCAGACTTGTTTATCACTGCAGTTTCAAAATGAAAGGAGGAGAAGATAATATTTCACCCTAAAAAGTTATTTATATATGTATAGTTACATCCCTGTCTTATTTTTGCAGAGAATCGTCCAGTATCTATATCAGTCGTTACCTGATGGATGAAGGGGCTCGTCTGCATATTTATGACCCCAAAGTAAAGAAAGAGCAGATAATTCAGGACCTGTCTCAACCCACCGCCTCAGATGATGACCCAAATAGAGGTACATCTTGTGTTGCTCGTTAGTATTGGAAACAAAGTACCCTACTTCTTCCAACAAGTATTTTTCAAAACCTTGGTGTGAATATAAGGACCTGCAATGCTTTTACAATTTACATAATAGACTTGTCGTAATTTTCCCTTAACCTGGATAATGCTTAGTCATTGTTTCAACAGGAAGCCATTTATAAACCCTAATTTACTCTATGTCAAACATTTAGATGTTCTGTTTTTAAGTACAATCTGCAAGACAGCTGTTGACGTTTCTTTTTTTTAAATGTGCCAGTAAGGCATAGATTTTTACATATGGTTACCATATGTGCTTTAATTACATTTTTTTTTCTTCAAAATTATCCTTTAGTTTCCATTTAAGGGGCTTAGAACCTGTTTGCTGAACACGTTGCCATTGGAGAAGCCCATATGTAGGACTTTTAAACTGTTTCTGCTTCATAATTTGTTCTTGCTCTGTTGCACTTCAGTGTCTCGCCTGGTCACAATTTCCAGCGACCCCTATGAGGCCTGTGAGAACGCTCATGCCATTGTGATTTGCACAGAGTGGGACATGTTCAGGGTAAGAAACATGAGTCCAGACTTCAGTCGAGGCCAGAACTGTATTGCTCGTGTCAGTCCTAAATATTGCAGATATCTAAGGTTCCATTGAGGTCTAAAGGTGTTTTATCTATTACAGGAGCTGGACTATGAAAGAATATACAAGGCAATGCTGAAGCCCGCCTTCATCTTTGATGGCAGAAGAATCCTGGACAGTTTGCATGACCAGTTACAGCACATAGGGTTCCAGGTAATTTGGGTCCTCTTTCATGCAATTATCACAAATGCATCCGAATAATTTATCCCACAAAGTGTTACATACAGTATGTTGTACATTCTACACAGGAAAAAAAGGTTAATACCTCTTTTAAGGATTGTTTCTTTATTCTTGTGGAATCATATATTGAGGATGGTTAACATTTAAATTTAAATAGCTCACAATGAAAGATATGTGTGCTTGTGTATTTTGGTAGTCTCATATTTTATTAAAAAAGAAGGTAGCGCTTTGTTGTTTTTGGAAGAAGCTACATTTTGGAAGAAACCAGTGTATCTTTGAAGAGATGAATATCTTTAAAAAAATCTGTTTATTTTGGGCTTCCTGGTTGCTTGAATGAAAATGGTTTCCGAGGCAACCTACATCATACATTCCCCTAGGGCAGATTTTTTAAAATAAAAACACTGTGCAATCCAAAAAATAAAACTGAGTGTTCATTTACAAAATTCAGAAGTATACTTGGGTCAGCTGAGGAAATCGGTAGTACAATTTACTGTAAAAAGCTCAATTTGTATCTAATCTGTCAAATGTCACATTAAGCAATATGTTAATCATTTTTTGTCACAACATAAACACATCTTGATATGATACAAAATACTTTTCCTATTGGAAAGAATGGTAAATCTGTTTTCCTTTTGTACTGTGAGTATAACGTTTAATTACGTCATAAATAGCCTTATAATTGCTTCTCTGTTTGTCTTGGTTTTATAGGTGGAGACAATTGGCAAGAGAGTGAGCCAAAGAATTCCATTCACAGCCAGTAATGATGTCTCAAAAGCTGATCAGGCTCCTCCGTCCAAAAAAATCAAACTCTGAGTGTTTTGGTTTCAGGATAAACAGTTGCTACAGTGAGGGTAACTTCATTTTATTTTTACTGAAACCATATTTACAGTATTATATTGCTTTTTTATTTTTATTCTGAATATTTAACTTAATTTTATACTGTACTACGCTAGCTTCTATACTGCAATTATCTATTAGATAAAGGTTCTTCTTGAGAAGTTTCCAGTTTTTGTCGTCAAGTAGGTTTTATTTATCTTCTTTCTCATATGAGGGGGTGTTGTAACTATCCCCATTATTTTTTAAATTCAGTTTAAAACATTCCATGATCTGTATGTATGGTGTTTGTGTAGGGAGAACTACTTCCAGTTTAACACTGAACTCCTTTTATGTTTCTTCTGCAAGCTAGTGTAATGTTTACTTAAAAATACTGTTATTTCCATGTAAATAACTGTATTTTATCAGCATTTCCTCTCATGAAGGTACTTCTTAGGTTTAATCAGTGTATTGGGTCACAAAGGATGGAGGAAACTACAAACGTAAGATTTGTAATTAAGATTTGGAGCAGTTCTGAACCTGCCCCTTTAAAACTGCTCGCTATATATATCGAGAGGCGTTAAAAGGTGATGAAAGCTATAGTTTCCAATACTCATTTATGCACTTCACAATGCCAATCCATACATTTCTGAAAATGTATTGCCTTCACGCTTGTTGAAGCAGGTGAAAGCATGTTTCCATGATAAAAAAATACCATTTGCAATATTATTACACATATTTTTCAGAAAGCTGTGATGGAACTTGTAGAGAATGTATAATAAAAAGATATATGCTATTTTTACATGTGTTTTGTAAAGGAATTGTGTTTTTTGAAGGGTTTTTTTTTAAGCCATTGCCTAATTTAAAACAATTATAGAGTAATCTGGAAGAAAGACAACCTGTATTTTTTTTTCAGAAACCACATATTATAATTATAATATTAAGAGATCCACTTGAAAACTCTATATAACATAATATTTGGTCTTAAAGATGATTTAGATATATAGCTGAAGCTGTCTAATCGGGAACCGTCTTCAAGTCTATCATTTTAAGGATGGAGTAGGCCATATTTTATGCAAACAGGCTGGGGACATAGATGGAACCTGGTCAGTGTCCAAACTGCCATATTGGAAAAGTTAAATATTCATTAGTTATTTTCTGCAGACCTGTCTCAATTCAAATGTTTTAAACTTATTTTGCTGTGTGAGCTCCTTGGTGCACTGTTGTGGATGAACAACATAATTAAAAATGAAGTCTTATTGCTTTAGCAGTGTACTTTTTCTGGTTAGTATAACTATTATGCAACTACACTGAAAGTAGCCGAATATGGGACATTTATGTGTTTTCCCTTTTGCTTTGTTTTTTGAGTCCCCGTTGTACCAAATCACCAGCGTGTTTTGATTGCACTTATGAATTATTCATCCATGCATTTTCTGACAGCTTCTTCCAATTCAGGGGTGTAGGGGGAGCCATAGTCTGTCCCTGCAAGCAACAGGTGCAAGGCAGGGTACACCCTGGACAGGATGCCAGTCCAGGATGCCATCGGAGGGCAGACAGACACAGACACGTACACACTCACACCAGGCCAGTCAACCTACCAGTATGTCTTTGGACTATAACAGGAAACCGGGGCACCTGGAAGAAGCCCACGTGAACATAGAGAGATCATGTAAACTCCACACAGATAGCACCCCAGGTCTGGAATTGAACCCAGGGCCCCAGCACTGAAAGGCAGCAATGCTAATTACCGCGTCACTGTGCTGCCCATTCTATTGAATGCAGAAAATTAACAAATCATGCTAAAAACCTCTAAAATGAATCATCTACAATCCTTTCTTGATTTTCTGTGGGCATTTTACTTAGCCTTTACTTTATTTCCTTTTTGATTAAGTGAAATATATTACTGTTTTGTTTGCAAAGTATTTTTCTCTGTAGAAATGTGTAGAATATGTTGGAAACCAAGTGTGCCTGACCAGTGGAAACCAGAGAACATCCCCACAATTGACCTCAATCTACTATAATGCCAAACATCATAATCTAGGAGGAACTACAGGACAACTTTCAAACCATTATATTCAGCTTTTACTTTCTGAATAAAGCCCATCAAAATATCTCCAAACCTACTGTATATCCATCCATCACATGGGGGCAGGAGTTTATCCTGGCAAGCAATGGGCAAAATACATACTGTATGTATCTACTTGTTTCCCATACGCATATCACCATTTTTTTTAATTAACATGTTCATACTTTTAAACTATTCACCTGCCCATCCATTGTAAGAAAGCTGCTAAGTCTGGAGTATCTCAAGGAACCTAACAGTGCAGGACTACATCCTGGATGTTGTGTCAGTCTCCAGCCTAGTGCACAAACAAGCTCACTCACAGACAAGACAGGTAGGGGAAACCAATTAACTGGGCTAGAATGTCTGTCAGGAAGAAACTTGAGCAACCACTGAAAACCCACATGAACAGAAGGATAATGTATGGTCTCTCTTGTACTGTAGTTAAAAGAATATTCTGTTGGAATATGAGCAAATAATATTTTATGTTTATGAACATTAAACTAAATAGACTTTAATAAACTCTGTATTGTGTTGGAGAGAGAGTTTACTGCCTATCATTAAGATTTAGTGCATTTATTTCGTCAGTTTTTTTACACTACAGTACAATTTGTTCTGAACTAATCAGAATTATATGAGTTATAATAACCAATAAGTAATCATCTATGGCACTAATGGTTTGAACATACAATTAAATAATATATGCAAATTAACAAAAAATTCAGTTCATTCAAGAGACTCAGTGTAGAAACATAAGTCACTGCAAAGATTGAGACAAAGATGTCAGTACTTACAGTTTTAATGAATCTGTAAAATCGACAGTAGTAACACCTTTACAAACCGAGAGAGATGAGCTGCTCTCTCGCCCTGTTTCAGGATTAGGGAAGGAGGTTCCAAGGGAGTGCAGTAAGAAGCACATGCTGCTTGAGTTCTTCCTCAGATGACGAAAACTACGTTCTTGGCTGTCCTCTCATCAAGCCTAAAGGATCGTTTTGTATGTCAGAAGAGCAATCTGTGTACTACCATCGACTTTCAGACATAGCAATCTATCAAAATGGGGACAGAAATTATTCTTTCAAATCTCATTTGGGGAGGTTTCATATTTTAAAGATATTTTTTAATTTAATTAAACGGTTTCGGTCCAGTTATCAAATACGAGACTCAAGAAATACATTCTTAGGTAATGACATCTGCAGAGGGTATTATTTAAATATGCTAAAGAATGTTCAATGTAGCTGACAGCTGATCTATGCTTGCCATTAGGGACTTAATGGTAGTAATTATTTTCTTTCCTCATATTCCCTTTGAGTACCTACCATTTACAGATAATTGGCCAACAGCTGCTGAACGGCAGGTTAACAAACAGCCAAACCCCTAGTCTTTCTGGGTAGTAGTGGGATAGGAGCCAGATCATGCTCTTAATGAAACAGTACTCCAGGCAGTTAACTGAGAAGTCTTTCATATAAAAAATGATGCAAAGGGTGTCACAGACTTCCTCATCACACCTCTCTCCTGCCATCTCCTGCAAAAACAAGAAAGTTCATACTCCTTAGTTTTGTATATACTTTTTTGTTACAATGTTCTAGTATGGATTGGGAAAAAAAACTTGGTTTTTCTATTGCACACTGGTTAGTGTAACCAGTTGCAATTGTACAGTAATAGAAAATGACATGTTAATCTTTACAAAACTGTCAAAAAATGACTCTATTTGTCCTTTGCTTCTAAAAGCAGCTGGAAGCCTCTTAGAAATCTTCTTTAACAGGGTCAAAATCACTAACTTTATTACAGTACTGTATTCCCATTTTAATGGAAAATGTGTCCCTTTCTCTTCTAAAAACATGAAGAATATTACATAATATAAGTTACATGTTAAGTGCATATACTATTTTCAGAATTTTCATTATCCTATCTTACAATACTCAAATAAACAACCTACCAGCAAGTATACAATGAACCTTGTAAGACTGTCCTGGGTCGCATCTTTGTTATTACAGAGGCTGACTGCAATGAGTATAATTGGCCTGTGGGAGGCAGTAAAACGAGACCCTAATTTAGTACAGTGTTCTCATAATTAAAAAAAAACATATTTTAGGACAGATACAAGTTTTGAAAATATAATTTGAAATTCAATCTAAGTATTCATATTACTCATACATGTACTGCTGCCTTTTACATCAATTCTTTGCACCAGATTTAAACCCCACAAATAAATTCCCCTTGCAGTGGAAGTTATTCAACAGTAAAGTGTGTGCACATCTACTCCTGAATTACCCAGAACTCGAGTTTGTTCTACAAAGTTACAAATTCTTCCCCATGTGCCACTACAGCTTAGTAGTGCTGTAGCAGGAAAATGCAATTAACTTCTTGGACATGAGCTTAACTGCCTTCAGGGTTTTAATACGATTACAGAGCTGTCTTGTCCCTAACCATGACAGATGGAATAGTTCTTGAGCTGTCATGCTACATAAAGCAATATCACACAGCTCAGGTTTTTATAACCAAACCCACTGCCCACTCGCAGTCTGGTGTACACAAGATAATTAACAGACTTAATATGCTAAGTCTCTGTACACTTTGGAGATATTAGAGAAATTAGAGAGACTGGGTTCCAACAGTGTTCAGTTGTGTTGTAAAATAGTAAATATTTTATATACCACAGAAGCTCTGATAAGATTAAATCAAAATGGTGAGGAAGCTACCGGCCTACCTTGGTTGTCTCTGTCTTCCAGTATCAGGGCTTTCCCTGTGTTCTGCAGGGAGATGATTTCTGGACTCTCTGCAGTGATTAATTCCACCCCAAGGTCCTGCCTCCACTGGAGATGCTGGCAGAGCCCCACCAGTGCATCCTCCAATGTACCAAAGCCTCTTAGACACCGCGAGGCAGCCGAGTCACTGAGGCCCTAAATTCACAAACAAGAGGGTGTTCTTAGCACAGTCTGTCCACATGGGACCACTTCTGCATTACAAACGACTGAAGCCTGTCTATAAACACAGCATGTAGTTTTGTACATGTGAAGCACAAAAGGTTATGCTGTACAAAGAATACCACATTTTCATCTCATGAAAAAAAGGTAAATACATGAAGGCAAGAGTATTTACACCCATGTTGCAGTGTTACTGTGTCCAACAATGAAGAAAGGAAACTGACCCTGGGCGACTGAATGAGGTGATGTAATATTACTCTTATTTTCATGTCTATTATCAAGTCTTCATATGAAAAAACAAGTAAAGGTTTATTCCATGCTGAAAGAGAAGAAAAGAAGCACAACATTTCGGCGGTGGAGCCTCCTTCGACCCTTCTTCTTTACCTGAAGAAGGCTCCACGGCCGAAACGTTGTGTTTCTTTTCTTCTCTTTTCAGCATGGAATAAACCTGTTACTTGTTCCTTTGCAGCCTACACATGCTGACGCAGCTCCCTACTTGAAGGTCTTCATGTAGGTTGTTACAA